TGCAAAAAAGATTGATCTTTGCAGTTAGTTGGTGCTCATGGCAACACGCTTAATATGTTTTATTCGTGGTCTTTTTGTTGTGCAGTACCAGGGACCAAACATAGGGGGCTCCACGCCTGAGCTACATCCTCAGACTGTTTTTGACTTTTTTCTTTTGAGACAGGGTTTTGCTCAGTTTCCAGATGGGACCGTGAACTTGCCATCCTCCTGCCTCAGCCTCCTGAGTCGCTGGGATGACAGGTGGGCCCCATGATGCCCAGCACGTTTTGGATATAAACACGTGAGTCATAAAAATGACTCGTGAGCTGGGGTGTAGCTTGGTGCGCCTGTCCAGCCTCTGCAGGGCCCTGGGTTTGAGCTCTGGCACGGAAACAAACCAACAGAAACCAACGAACAAAGTCACTTTGTAACCAGGGGCAGTGGTACACATGGGTGTCCCCAGCTCCTTGGAGGCTGAGGCAGGAGGATAGAAAGTTGAAGGCCAGCCTCAGCCAAAGCGAGGCCCTAAGCAACTCAGCGAGACCCTGTCTCTAAATAAAATATGAAAAGGGCTGGGGACGGGGCCCAGGGGTTAAGTGCCCCTGGGGTCAATCCCTGGTACCAAAAAATTCCCACAGTCTTTCCACCTCTGGGCAGACATTCTGAAAGGAACTGGCTCTGGCCTCCACCTTGCGATCCTCCTGCCTCAGCCTCCCACAACCCGCTGGGATGACAGGCGTGTGCCACCGTGCCCCAGCTTCTCTCTAGATTTTCTGTTCTTACACTGGAACCTTTGATCTGGTTGTCACTGATGTTGGTGTCCCTGTCAGGTAGAGATCCAGTTCTGTTTGTGTCTCGATGGCTTCCCCCTGTGCCTGGGTCACAGTTGGGTGACTGTCCTGGTACAGATGTGGCTCCAAGGAGGACAGCTCCTGACCCGAGACTGCGCAGCCCGAAGGTGTCCTGTCCTCGGCCCCGGCTTTGCCCCCTGTCCCTGTGTCCCTGTGGTCCTCTGAGGCGTCCCCATTCTCTCTGGCTGGTCCCCCAGGCGGCACCTCTGTGTGGCCTCTGGCTGCTCATTCCCCCTGATCTCTCGGGGCCGCGCTTTGTCACTGCTCCTGTTCCTGGCTGCTGACACGGTCCCATTGTTCTCCTCTGGCTGCCGAGGGGCTGATGAAAGTCCCCCCACCTCCTATGGCACGGGCCTCAGGTGGCACGTGTGTCCGGGAGGACGCTGGCAGGCTGCCCTGGCACACGGTCTGCTCTCCTTCCTCTGCCACCTGCGGGCCTGGCCCACCTGCTGCCCAGAGGCCTCAGGGTCCCCAGAGGCTCAGGAATGCAGCAGGGGGAGGGCAGACGCTGAACCAGCTCTTGCTTCCATCTTGGCCTCCAATATCTATTTCTGTGCGAGTCCCGTCTCTCTGGAGGCTCTCCTCTTGGGCTCTGTGGGAATTGGGCTCATGGAGAAGGTTCTAGCTCAAGGGCTGAGCTGGGGACAGAAGGAGACGGAAATGCAGTCAGGGGGTGGCCCACGCCTGTCATCCCAGCCGCTCGGGAGGCTGAGGCAGGAGGATCGCCAGGTGGAGGCCAGCCTCTGTGATTTAGCGAGGCCCTGAGCAGCTCAGTGAGTCCCTGTCTCTAAATGACATACAAACAGGGCTGGGGACGGGGCTCAGGGGTCGGGTCCCCTCAGTTCCATCCTTGGCACCCCTCCCTCCAAAAAGGATGTGCCTTTGCCTGAGCTGCGCAGTGGGTGAGGGGCGAGGCCTGCCGGGCCTCCAATCCTCTGCCTCCATCCTTAGGACTGTGCCTTGGGAGTCAGGTGGACTTCCTGTTGTGTCCCCTCCCTCTGAGCTGCAGAGTGGCCAGCAGTTCCTCCCCACGCAGGGACTTCTGGAACCCTCCTGGAAGGAACCTTCTAGAACCTTCCTGGAAGGAACCTTCCGGAACCACCCTAGAAAGAACCTTCCAGAACTTTCTTGGAAGTAACCTTTGCAGAATGAACCTTCTAGAACCTTCCTGGAAGGAACCTTCTTGGAAAGAGCCTTCTGGAACCATCTAGAACCTTCCTGGAAGGAACCTTCTAGAACCTTCTGGAATCTTCCTGAAGGAACCTTCTGGACCCTCCCAGGACCTGTCCTGGAGCACTCACGGGCTCCTGTGTGCACCCCCCGCCCAGGGACAGAGCGAGGGTCTTGTTGTGGACGTGGACCCTGCCCTCGGGGACGTGGGGTGCTGTGGTGGACAGAGGTCCGTGCTCTGAGCTCCTTGACCTTGTCGCGGCCACCGCACCTCTCCAGCCTTGTCCTGGTCTGCAGCACCACGTCGCTGTCCCCAGAGGGCAATGGCCGACGTGCTGTGTCCGTGGCCCAGCTGCCCGGGTGGACCCCGTGGGCTGTCCGTGGAGCCCCTGGCCACACTGTGGGCCCCACCTGGGTTGTCTCGCACCGTCCTGCTGTGACCAGGGTGGGCACAGGGTGGGTGTGTGGCAAGTGGTGGTGACAGTCACCGGCTGCGGAGTCCTGTGGTGGCTTTGTGTGGTCAGGGCACAATGTAAAGAGTCACCAGTTGAAGACAATTCTTTCCCTGATTTTCTTTTACTTTTACTTTAATTTAATTGTAATTTTAATTTTATTTTAATCTTATTTCACTTTTAATTTTCTTTGGTCCCGGGAACTGAAGTGGCTTAACCGCTGGGCCACACCCCACCCCTTCATCCCCGTGAAAAAAGACACTTTTAGCTGCAGATGGACACAAAATCTTTATTTTATTTGTTATTTTCTGTGGAGCTGAGAGTTGAACCCAGGGCTTCACACATGAGGCAAGTGCTTCACCCCTGAGCCCCGTCCCCAGCCCTTTTTCTGTTTTATTTAGAGACAGGGCCTCGCTCAGTGGCGGAGGCTGGCCTCCACCTGGCGATCCTCCTGCCTCAGCCTCCCGAGCTGCTGGGATGACAGGTGTGCGCCCGGCTCCTGATTTCAAATCCAGTCTTCTTTCTGCTTCTTAGAATACCTTTTGATTTTTTCAAAAATCTCATTTTGGAGGTTTCTCGACTATATTCAAAATCTGATGTTCCTTTTCCCCTGGACACACATTTCCCCTCCTCTGTCCCCCAAGGAAAGTGACACGTCCCAGATCCCCGAGGCTCTGCCCCACGCTGACCTTTGTGAGTTTCTCATTATTTTTATTTTGGAAACGATGGAGATATGGAATCTGTGGAGTTGGAAATTGTCATTTTGAACCGTCCCCAGAGCCCTGAATGGCCCTGCGCACCCCCCAGGACCCCGTGGTCCCCACAGATGGCAGCCCTGATACCCGGAGGCACAGAGGGCCGTTTGTGAGCTGCGGGTCTTTGTCTGGCTGCCACCCACTCGTCCCAGAGCCATTTCCCGGCTCGTGGGAACCCGAGGGACACTGCCCGATTCATTCCATGCAGAGAGGAAGGGCCCCAGCGCCCAGGCGGCCAGCCCTGTCACCTCCTGGGGCCTGATCAAAAGTCGGACGAGGAGACCGCTGCCCGGCAGCAGGCCCGCGGCTGACCCTGGCTTCCCACGGTGCCCTGGTTCTCAGCCTGGCCCGACAAGTCCCCGGGACCTCTGACCCCCTCAGAAGTGTCCCTGGGCCGGCTGCAGAGGGGACACGGGGGCAGGGCTGTGGGCTGGTGGGAACAAAGGCGCCTGTGGGCCCCAGGAGGCCGCCCAGGGCCCTGTCTGCACTTAAAGTTCCCAGTGTGTCCCATCGCAGGGTCCCAGCAAGTGGCAAGACAAGCGCCTGGTGGCACTCAGCCCCAGAGGAGGAAAGGGACATGTTCCTGGTAAATAAAGAGGGAGAGGCTCAGGCGCTGACCTCGGCTCTGGTCAGCTCAACAGAGATCTATGTCGTGGAGCCCTGGCCGGGGCTCGTGCTGTGACAACGGATCCCAGCCCCAGGCCTTGCCGTGAGCACTCGGGCTGGGGGCAGCGGAGAGGGCACAGTGTGCAGGCACAGGGAGCCGGGGTGAGGAGGGACACGGGGACACTGACGGGACACGTGCCTTGATTCCTAAACGGAAAGTGGAGGAGGGTAAAGGCTGGAGGACAGGAAGCTGGCATGCAGCCTGGGTCCCTCCTGGTCAGGGCAGGCCGTGGGGCCAGGTGGTCAGGAGCCTCCACATGGGGTAAGATCTCTGCCCTGGCTGGGCCTGGTGGCACCCAGCTGTCATCCCAGCAGCTCAGGAGGCTGAGGCAGGAGGATGACCAGGTGGAGGCCAGCCTCAGCCACTGAGCGAGGCCCTGAGCCACTCAGCCAGACCCTGTCTCTAAATAAAATGCAAATAGGGCTGGGGACGGGGCCAGGAGGGAGCCCAGGACGGGGTCCGCCAACTGTGAAGTCACCTGCGTGGTCCACGTGAGTGTGAAGCAGCTGGTGGTCACAAGAGGAGGGGACTGTGAGGCCACACCTGCTTATCCAGAGGACGGTGGGGGCTGTCACCAGGAAGTCACCCCGCCAGCTCTGTGGGGGGTGGATCCATCGATGGATCGATGGATGCACTTAGAACATGACTCTGTGGGGCCGGGGTGGAGGCTCAGCGGTCTCCGCATTGGTCCTCCTGCCTCAGCCTCCGGCATGGGTAGGTGTTGATAGGGCCACGGTCCCTCTTTCCTCGCAGCTTCTTGGAGTTGCTTGAGGTGCTGAGTCTCCCCTAGTTTGTAGCTGTGTCCTTTCCTTCCTGCCCCGTCACCAGGGCGTCTGTGGGGCCCTGGGTTCCCCCCACGTAAAAATAAATAAAAATAAAACAAAGGTGTTGTGTCCGTCCACAATTCGATGTGAATGTGTTCGGAATGGTTTCTAGATGTCCCTGCTTGAAAATGACAGAGGCAGCAAAATGTCCACTGACTCTCCTTTCCTTTTTAGTTTTTTATTTTGAGATCTTGCTGAGGGTCTTGCTGAGTGGCGGAGGCTGGCCTCCACCTGGCGATCCTCCTGCCTCAGCCTCCCGCCGGCCCTCTTTTCCCTTTCTAACCTGCTCTTCTCTGTCCCAGGGGCCCAGATCATTGATCTGATGATGCTGGTCATCGATGTGACCAAGGGGATGCAGACCCAGTCGGCGGAGTGCCTGGTGATCGGTCAGATCGCCTGCGAGAAGCTGGTCGTGGTGCTGAACAAGATAGACCTGTTACCCGAAGGGAAGAGACAGGCGGCCATCGACAAGATGACGAAGAAGATGCAGAAGACCCTGGAGAGCACCAAGTAGGTCTGCCTCCAGACACGGTCCCATGGGACAGGGCGTCTGGGGTGCTGCTTGTCATCCACAGGGATCGGGCAGGCGCTGGCCACATCAAGGGCCGCATTGAGTCGGGTGAATGTGAAGCTGCTGCTCAAAAGAAGCCCCCAATTGTGGGTGCCGTGGTGCAGGCCTGGAGTCCTAGACACTCAGGAGGCTGAGGCAGGAGGATCGCCAGGTGGAGGCCAGCCTCATCCACTCAGCAAGACCTTCAGCCAATCAGAAAGAGCCTGTCTCAAAATAAAATCTAAAAAGGGCTGGGGACGGGCTCAGGGGTGAAGCGCCCCTGGGTTCCCCCACGTGGAGGGCCTGGGCCTGGGGACGTAGGTCCCGTCCTCTTGAATTCCCTGCGGGGGGACAGAGTCCCGCCCTTGTTTCCCGGCGGACCTCAGCGCCAGGGAGACCCAGAATCCTGCTCTGTCCCCGTCTGCGTCTCTACAACCAGACCAACAACACCGGACTAGGAATTTGGGTGGGTGACTGTTTTTGTTGCAGAGGTTTGTCAAGTTGGGTAGGAGGACAGACGGACGGACGTTGCTGCTGGAGACCACATTTGGAAATGCTAACCTGTGTGACAAAGGACCTCGGTGGCTTTTCCTGCCTAGCAGTTGACAGTTTGATTTTGTAGACAGTAGGAAGTCCGGTGGGTGCGGTGGCCCATACCTGTGTCCCAGCGACTCAGGAGGCTGAGGCAGGAGGATCGCAAGTTGGAGGCCAGCCTCAGCCACTGAGCGAGGCCCTGAGCCACTCAGCGAGACCCTGTCTCTAAATAAAATGGGAAAAGGGGCTGGGGACGGGGCTCAGTCAGTGATCAGCACCTTGGGGTCATTGCAGGACCCCCCACAGCACTTGCTCCTGAGGTCACTCAGGGGGCCCAGGAAGGTGGCCGCGTCCCTGTGCTGGACCAGGCAGCGAGAGGCAGGTGGGCCTCCAGGGACCCAGAGCCCCCTGGTCGCTCAGGCCGGCTGCTCAGTCCCAATAACTGATTCTGACGAGGCCCAGCGACTCAGCCAACGTCCCTGTCCCCACAGCCTCATTGTTCCCAGCCTCCTCCTCGGTGGGGCCCGTGTCCCTGGTGATCCATGCTGAACAGCGGTCACCGGGCGACAGGGCAGCCTCCCCTTGGCTACGCAGCCAGGGACAATATCCTGCCCCGTCCGCCTCCTGCCTCTGCCCGTGGAGGCCGCCAGGAGAGGCCCTTTGTGTCCTTGTCGCCAAGATGGATCTGCTTCTCCATTGAGGATGCTGTTTTCTTTTTATTTCCAGAACCTGCCACCTGCAGCTCTTCCGCAGAATCCTCCAGTTGCTTAAATTAAAGCCCCGGCCCCGGGCAGGCACCAAATATGTCATAAAAGATCTCCCTGCGCTGCCTTTTGTGACCAAAATTCATCACCCCGATACCATCGACACGTTCAGATCCGTGTCGCAGGAGCAGGCGGAGCTGCGGCTCCCGGCGGAAGTGGGCCCAAGGCTGCGAGAAGGGAGATAAAGAACCCTCTCTCCTCTGGAGTGAGTTATGTGATGGCCCCGCCGCTTTATTTACTTGTCACAGAGCAGGGAACAGGTCTGGGGACCCGCAGAGAGCGCGCCGTCCAGTGTCGCTGCCGTCGACTCCAGGGATGGCACCTTGTGGGAAGGGCACAGGGACTCTGCAGGGTCACCTCGCACTTGGCCACGTCCATGAGCGACAGGGAAGGGAGATCCTCATTGGCGGGTGGAGGTGGCTCCTCCTGTTGGAATGTCGTTGTTGAAGGTCAAATGACAGGTTTCATGACAGTCCATTGGTGGGGACTTTCAATTTTTTTAACATCATTTTAGGTCCCAGGGGTTGAACCCCGGGTGCTGAACCCCTGAGCCCCGTCCCCAGCCCTTTTTCTATTTTATTTAGAGACAGGGTCTCGCTGAGTGGCTGAGGCTGGCCTCTACCTGGCGATCCTCCTGCCTCAGCCTCCCAAGCTGCTGGGATGACAGGCGTGGGCCACTGCACCCTGTCACTGATTTTTCTTTTTATTGTGGTAAAATATGCACAATATTTATCATTTTCAACACTTGTGACTGTGCAATCCAGCGACCTCAAATACACTCACGATACTTTATGCTCATCTCCCAAAACCTTCTCACCATCTCCCAAGTCAGTTCAATACCCATGAAGCAATTCTTCCTGTTCCTCTAGGAACCCTCGTTCTGCTTTCTGTCTGTGACTTTCACCTGTTCTAGGTCCCTGAGCTGAGGGGAATCCTGATGTCACAGACCATAACGTTTGCAAGAAACTCTATTGATATTGTACTGGGTTTCAGAACTTGGCTTCTTTTTGGTGGCTGTATAGTACTCTGTGGTGTACCTGGGCCCTGTATTGTTGATCCGTCCTTCTCTTAGTGGACACTGGTGTTGTTCCCTGTCTGTTATGAAGGATCGTGCTGCGAATTTGGGTGTAGACATAGAAATCTGTTTAAGTCCCTCATTTCAAGTCCTTTGAATATACACTCTTAGTGGGGCTAGGTGGCGGCTCCGGGCTTGAGTGTCTGCCCAACATGCTCCATCCCCAGGCCACCCCAATAGACACACAGATTCATGTAATGGCATTTCTACACACACTGACATATTTATATAAAATACCTAGCTGGGTGCTGTGGCCCACGCCTGTCATCCCAGCAGCTGGGGAGGCTGAGACAGGAGGATCGCAAGTTGGAGGCCAGCCTCGGCAACTTAGTGAAGCCGTGAGCAACTTGACAAGATCCTATCTAAAAAATAAATAAATACATGATTCAATAGTAAATAAAGAAAAGGCTGGGGTGTAGCTCAGTGCTGAAGTGCCCTGGGTGCAGTCCCTGCCACCGCCACCCCCCAAAACCAGCCCCAGGAGGCACAAAATGAGGCTGTTGTTTCTAATGACTAGTGAGGTCGAGGTCCCAGGGGCATTATTGGCCATTTGTATAACTTCATGGAAAAATATTTCTATCGTTTGCCCATTTTTATTGGATTGTTGTGGTTGAATTGCACATTTATACACTGACCCCTGCCATAGGTAGGGTTTGTGATTCTTCTCTACCAGTCTGTAGATTGTCAGTTTGATTTCTTGGCAGGGTCCTCTCATATATAAAAGTTCTTTTTTTTTTTTTTCCTTTTATACCAGGGGTTGAACCCAGGGGGCACTTAACCCACGGAGCCCCATCCCCAGCCTTTTTATTTTTTATTTAGAGACAAGGTCTCACTGAGTTGCTTAGGGCCTTGCTAAGTGGCTGAGGCTGGCCTCCACCTTTCGATCCTCCTGCCTCAGCCTCCCGAGCTGCTGGGGATGACAGGTGTACACCACGGTGCCCGGCCTGCCATGTTATTTTGTAAACGCATTCTCCTGTTTTACAGATGACTGAACAATTGACTTGGGTTCATACGTTGAAAATATATCTGCCTTCAAAATATATTTGAAACTTTAAAATGGAAATGTCATTTTCTTCTCATTTTGGACATAGGACTCTGGAATCAGTGGGGACATGGCACACCTCTCCTAAGGGCATCAGACTCGTGTGCTTGTGTGTCGGTGACCTGGGCACATATATCTGGTCTGTTGGCCTCTGGCCATTTTAATATCTGTGTGTCTCATATGCACAAAGGTGCTGCCAGCCTCCTGCCCACCTGGCCCTCCCCCAGCTGCGGGTCCCTCCATCCGGGTTCCTTTTTTTTTGGACACATAGAAGTTCCTGATTTCCACGTCGCCTCACTCTTTGATTGTTTTTCTTTGTGATTTCTTTATCTCTGAAAGCATTTAAAATGCCTCGCGCATAAGCATTTATCAATGTTCGCGGGAATCAAAATGGGAGATGCAGGCGCACCCCAATCTTCCCAATGCATCAAATTAAAATGTTTCCTCCCGTCCCCCGGCCGGCTTCCCCACAGGCACACCATTCGAGGTGGCTGTTATCACCACGTTGACACGATTCGGTGTTCTGGACTTTTCTGTTTATTTTTTTCCGCTAAATGTTATCACCTGACACCACCCTTGGCCCGTCTTCCCCACCAGACGCCTGTTTCTTCCTTTGAAGACACTTTTTTGGGGGGTGGTAGGGGTACCCGGGATGGAACTCAGGGGCCCTTGACCCCTGAGCCCCGTCCCCAGCCCTATTTTGCATTTTCTTTAGAGACAGGGTCTCTCTGAGTTGCTCAGGGCCTTGCTGTTGTTGAGGCTGGCCTCCACTTTGCGATCCTCCTGCCTCAGCCTCCCCAGCTGCTGGGATGACAGATGGGCCTCACTGCACCTGGCTTAATTCTTTTTGCTTCTCCGTCCTCTTTAAATTCTCTTTTCTGACTGGTGTCCCCCTTGGCAAGGCTGCCCAGTGGCACAGCTGGCCTGGGCCGTGGTGGCCTGATTGGGTCAAAGAGGTGGCAGTAGGCGTGAGAGCCGAGATGGGCCCTGGGTGAGGCTTGGGCTCCTCCAAACACCCGCGGGGCCTGGGGAGGCCGAGCAGAGAGGCTGGGACAGACCGTCAGGGGCCTTGGCACCGGCCCTGATGTCGGCTGCGTCCTGGGCGTCACGGTCCCCTGAGGTCGGGAGGGAGGGCCTGGTGGCCCCGAGTGCTGGTCGGTCCTCCCAGTCAGGGGCTGGCACAGGGCTGGGTCCAGGTTTTGGAGAGCATTTGGGCACCTGGGTGACAAGGGCCATCCAGGGCACAACTCCAGTGACGCTCGGGGGAATGGGTCGGAGTCACAATAAGAAGATGCAGGGACCGAGGAGGGACAGGGACGTCCACGCAGCAGACAGGTGGCTCCGGCCGAGGGCTCCTTCCCAGACGGTGAGCCAGGGAGCAGCACAGGTGGGACACGGCCTGGTGGCCCGTGGGGCTGGAGGGTTGGGGACAGCGGGGCTCTCGGGGCCACCTTGGGGACAGGAAGGTGACCTCTTGAGGGGACAGTCAGGCGAGCCACAGAGGCTGTGGGGCTTGGGCCCGTGATGGTCCCGTGGGTCGTGGCCCTGTCCTCTCCTGTCACACAGCGTCCTCTCTTTGGCAGGGGACGTGGGCTGTCAGCTCTGGTGGCAGGTGGGAGCTGTCCCGTCACACGGCCTGCGTCCGAGTTCCCTTAGAGAAGCGGGGGACGGCAGGGACAGTGACCTGGGTCCCCGGGGGAGACTGGCAGGGCGGGGTCTGGGGACGGGCTTCTAGAAGGTTCTTTCTGGCCCGGGGCTGAGACCTGGGGACCGCGGGTTCCTGGAGGGACCCGTCTGTTCAGTTGTCCCTTCTGGGTGGCTCCTGTGTCCTGCTGAAGTCTGGGCCCAGGGCCAGCGTGGAGGGACACGGGGCCAGGAGGGCCTTGGGCAGGTGGGTCCCAGGGGCGCAGAGCGAGGGGCCGCAGCCGCGTGGCCAGGTGGCCTGGGCCTGGCGCTGAGCCGTGGGTCACAGGAGGGACCGTCCTGCCTGGTGGTCTGTCAGCGCCTCAGGTCAGCCAGTGTCCCCAGCTGGGCCACTATTGTCTCCAGAGTGTCCCCAGCGTCTGGACAGGCCTTGCCCGTGCGAGTCGGGCCTGCCGAGCGTGGAGCGCCCCGGGGTCCCCTCGTGTCCCTCTCGGTGGCTGCAGGGCTGGGCCTCTTGTCCCCTGGGGGGTTGCTGCAGGGGGATCAGACAGGTCCCTGGAAGCAAGGATTGTCAAAAAGTGACACGTGGGGACCTCGGACAGAACATCTAAACTTGACACACACGTGCGTTTCTGTTGGTGACGTCGACAGGCGACTTGTGACAGGAGCTGGGGGCCGGGTGGCGTCGCCCCTTCCTGTCAGGACAGCGCTGCTGGCCGTGGTCCCCCCCGGGGTGGGCCTCCTGTTGGAATCTGGGCCTCTTCCCTCTTTTCTTGGGGTTTGGGACTGAACCAGGGTCCTCGACCCCTGAGCCCCGTCCCCAGCCCCTTTTTCGATTTTATTTAGAGACAGGGCCTCGCTGAGTGGCTGAGGCTGGCCTCCACCTTGTGATCCTCCTGCCTCAGCCTCCCCAGCCGCTAGGACAACAGGCTGCGTCTCTTTTTTCCGCTGCTTTTTCATGATGCGACATTGAATCGTGTTGTTAAAGTGACACTGGGGACTGGCATTCCCCACTCAGCGGCAGCACCCATGGCCTTCAGCTTCAGCTGGTGGGACAGAAGCCCAGGAGGCACCCGCTGCCCTGGCTGTGACCCGCGGGTGCTGCCCACTCTGGGTGCTGTGCTCCCGGGTGCCAGGCCCGGGGCTCCCTGTGGGTGGGAAGGCCCAGCTCCCGGCCACCCGGGAAGTGGAGCCCCTGGGGGGAAGTCTGTGCCACCCTGGGGGTGACAAGTGGCCGAGGTCTGCCATTTAGGTGTGACAGGAAGCTGCACTCCTCAGTTGGGGTCCCTTGATGACACAGTGGGTGCTGGAGCGTCCCGGGTGGCAGCTGGTGGGGGGCTGTGGGAGGGGCGGTGGCCGGGTCACAGGTCACAGTGACAGGAGGGGACAGGAGAGGGCACTGTGGGGCTTTGCCGTCCCCTCCTGGAGCCTGGGTTGGGGGCCCGGTGGCCGCACTGGGCCCCGCCCTCTGGTCTGGTTTCCAGGGACCAGCGGCCACAGTGGCCAGGGGACAGAGGATGACGATGGAGGGACATGAGGCTGTGAGGCAGGTCCTTGGTGCTGTCCCCAACCCCCGTGACTCCCAAGAGGCCACCAGCCTGAGCCCCGCCTGGCCTCATGACAGGATGTGTCACTGTCCTCAGCAGACGGCCTGCTCACTGTGGGAGCTGTGCAGCCCCGAGTGACACGGGCAAGAGGGACCAGGCCACCCTGAAGGGGACACTCCTGTGACCAGGTCCTGCGACTCTGGGAGAGAAGGCGGCTCCCCCTGACCATGAAGTCTGTGAGACGTCGGTGGAGCGTCTAGTTACAAGTGTCACCACGGCCCAGGGGACCCAGAGCTGCCGCGGCAGTGGGGACCTGACGTCTGGTGTCACCTGCTGTCCCTCAGAGCCAAGAGGGGGACCGGGAGGGACTCTGGACACTTCTCTGGGACCCCCATAACACTGGGGAGCAGGAGAGGCCCCTGGTCCCCGTCCTCTCTGAAGGGACCCACTCTGTCCCCTGAGAGTGTCCCCTTCCCTGTCCCCTCAACAGGCCCCGCCGGCTCCTCCGAGGGACAGGCCTGATGTCTCTGTGACCCGGTGGCAGGTCGGGGTCTGCCCAGGGGTCTTCACGCTGCCGCGGTCTCCCGAGGCCCGGGCTCTGTGTCACGGGGAAGGCGCGTGGGGGACACTCTGGGGACCCAGCCCCCAGGGCCAGGGCTCAGGCCCCAGGCGCACAGCCTCCTGGTCCAGCCGCCGGGGTCTGTCAGGTGACAGTGGCGGGTCCCTCAGGATGCGGGGTGGGGTTCCGGCCCCCCAGGGTCCCCCGCTGGCCCAGAGCAAGGTGACAAGGTGCGGTGGCCCCTCCTGGCCGCCAGCCTCCTGTTCTATTGTCTGGTGCAGGGACTGGACCAGGCTGTGAGCCACCGAGCCCCATCCCCAGCCCTGATCAGGGTCCCACGGGGCCACCCAGGGTCCCTTCTCCGGGGAATCTGGGGCGACGGTCACTCTTGTCCTTGGGGGGCCACGGGCGGGGGCCAGGGTCCCTGTGGATTCCAGGGGAGCCCCTTCCTCCTGGTGCCCCAACGCGAGGTGTCTCCTGGTGTCCCCAACAGTGGGTGGCACGTGTCCCCTGTTGTGCCTGCTAGTCCGCCTGGTGCTCCGCGGCCTGCTGACCGCCTGTCCCCTAACGCTGCTGTCCTCGGTTGCAGGTTCCGGGGTGCACCCGTCATTCCTGTGGCGGCCAAGCCTGGAGGCCCGGAGGCCCCCGAAACGGAGGCTCCTCAGGGGATCCCAGAGCTCATCGAGGTACCCAGCCCCCGGCGCCCCAGCCCCTGTGGCCGACCTCTGCCCTGTCACACCCTCGGCTCCTTCCCAGGGAGAGACCTCGGCCACCAGCCTCCGGCCTGCCCGGCCTCAGGCCTCTACCCCCAGCCCGAGGCTCCGCGGGCCTCCGCACCCTGGCCTCCATCTGGCCACTTCTCCTCTAATCACTCCCACCAAGTGGCCCACAGCCTGGGACCCGGGCCACGTTGGCTGTTCTAGAAGCTTCACCTCTGTCCCTCCAGTGACAGGCAGGAGGGGGCAGGAAGGTGGCAGGGTCCCGCTGCTGGCCACTCTGGGCCACTCTGGGCAGAGGGATCCTGCGCCTGGCCCTGGGGCAGGACTGCGGTTCCGTCCACGGTGGCCAACGTTCTCAGCAACCCTGGGAGGCTTCCGTGTTCCCCAGGAGAGGGCTCGGGTTCAGAGAGGTTAAGTGACTTGCCCAGGGTGGCTCAGCAAGTGCGTCGGAAAGCTGAGCTTCAGACCCAGGCTGGTTGCTGGGGCTCAGCTCTGAGGTCCCCTGCCTCCAGGGGCCCCTGACCCCTGAGCCCTGTCCCCAGCCCTATTTTGGATTTTATTTAGAGACAGGGTCTCCCTGGGTTGCTCAGGGCCTCGCTTTGGCGGAGGCTGGCCTTGAACCCATGATCCTCCTGTTTCAGCCTCCCAGGGCCCTGGGGTGACAGGCAGGGACAGTTGTTTTGATTCAAGGAAAACCCACCAGAATGTGGCTCGGAGAGGCCTGTACATTCCTTCTAGAAGCCTCTCCTCAAATCTCAGGCCAAGCCTGTTTTGAATTTCCCTGCTTTTGCAAAGGAATTGTTATCACAAAACTCAAACCTTGGAACGCTCCCCGCTGAATACTTGTGTGACAACCTGGCCCCCGGGAAGCCAGAGGGAGCAAACCGGACGGAGGGAGGGACGTGGTGCTGATGCTCGTGTGCTGATTGGTCCTCGGCCCCGACAGCATCTTGGAGCACGTAGGTGGCACACGGAAAGCAGGCCAGCGGGGCCAGACAGACGGACAGAGCACCACGTGGGGGCTGGGCTGGCCACGAGCCAGGCCCTCTGTCTCTGTCGGGCCCTGGAGTAGTGGCCACGGGGCTGCCCACTGACCGCTCTTGTCCTGTGACCTCCACACACAGGCCTGCCCTCCTCCTGCCCTCTCTGCTGTTCATGTGACTGTCCCCCAGATATGGCACCAGCTTCTAGACACTCTCGAGGTCCTCAGAGCCCATGACATAGATGACCAAAACAGTGTATGGCCAGGCGCGGTGGCCCACACCTGCAATCCCAATGGCTCAGGAGGCTGAGGCAGGAGGATCGTAAGGTGGAGGCCAGCCTCAGCCACTCAGCAAGACCCTGTCTCTAGATAAGATATAAAAAGGCCTGGGGACGGGGCTCAGGGGTGAAGTGTCCCTGGGTTCCATCCCCAGGACAGCGTGTGACCTCTGGTGCCTGGTGTGTGTAGGGGTGGCCTCCCAGGGTGTGGTCAGGGGACAGCTGAGGCTGGGCCACCTGGGGCTCTGGGCTCACAGTGGCAGACACCCGAGGTGATGGGGAGAGACGTGGCCTGCCTGGTCCCCGGGGCTTAGAGGTGGGGACCCCAGGTCCTGCAGGCCTCGGGAGGCGGGGCCACAGGCAGGGGTCCTAGCTGAGCGTCCCCCAGGAGAGCGTGAGGAGGTCCCCAGCTCCGTGCCCCTTCCTCCTCACCCAGCAGAAGCTGCTGGACACACAGCAGCCGCCTGGCCTGCCTCTGGGGTCCCTCTGACCTGGCCACTTCTCGCCTTGCCTGGGACAGGCCCTGACCCTGGTTGCACTCAGTGGCTGAGGCTGGCCTCCAACTGGCGATCCTCCTGCCTCAGCCTCCGGGCTCCTGGGACGACCACCGTGGTCTCTGGATTCTTGGGTTTCTGTAGGCCCCCTCCGTCCCCCACTGCGTCCCTGGCCCCTGGCCCTTGCCGACAGGCGGTGGCAGCAAGGTCTCTTCTCCAGCTCCTGAGGTCGCAGATCTCCGTCCCGACCAGAGACCCCTCGGGCCCGTTCCTCATGTCCGTGGACCACTGCTTCTCCATCAAGGGCCAGGGCACCGTCATGACGGGGACCGTCCTCTCAGGCTCCATCAGCCTCGGCGACAGCGTGGAGATCCCCGCCCTCAAGGTCAGTCAGACTCTGGTCTGTCTGGGAGGGGACCGTCCTGCCTTGGATTCCAGATCGACCGCTCGCCCTGTCCCCCCAACAGCACGAGGCCTGTGAGGTCCCCAGCGGGGGTCCCCAGGAGGCCTTGCACCTGCCAGGGACGCTCGGTCACAGAGCCACATCCCAGCCCTGTTTATTTTGAGAAAGGGTCGCGCTGAGTGGCTGAGGCTGGCCTCCAACTGGCGATCCTCCTGCCTCAGCCTCCAGGCTGCTGGGATGACAGGCGTGGGCCACCGCTGTCTCTGGATTCTTGAGTCCCCGAGACCCTGGACTGACCCACCCGTGTCTCACGAGAGAGAAGCGTGTTTAGGGGAATTGGCCCACGTGATCATGGGGCCTGGCGAGTCCAGAATCTGGTGGGTGGACGCCCAGGGCACGCTGCAGCTCAGAGGCCACCTGTGGGTGGACGTTACCCTCCCTCGGGGGACTGCGTGGGGTGCCCTGCTCTGCCCCACGGCTGCCAACGTCAGTGTTAGTTGTTTTAATGAAAAATCGCCCTCCTGGCTGGGGTCTCAGTGTGCTGGGGAGGTTCAGAAAGTTCTAGAAAGTTCTAGAACGTTGGCCAGCTCTAGAAAGCAGTGGACCTAAGAGGAGTCTGGGGTGAAACAGGCTCGTGAGCTCTCAGTGGTCCAGAGTGGTGTCTGAGCACCTCCCTGGGCACCATGGTCCCCCCACGTGGTCACAGATGACACCGCGTGAGCCGTCCTGCTCTGGGGCAGCGCGGTTGGGACAGGGAGGGGGACAGGAGTGAGCGGCTGCCCCAGTGAAGGGACCTCGGGGTCACCCCAGGCCCCTTGGATGGTGTTGAGGCCTTCGCCTCCTCCTTCAGGGCTGAGGGCCCCGACTCGGCTCTGGCCAGGCCCCAGGGCTCTGGGGACACGCAGCAGGAGCCAGAGGGTGTGGCCCGGCTGTCCCCAGTGCTGGGTCGGGGCCTCCTCCTGAGACCCAGGACAGCCCCGTCCACCAGCCGTTCTTGACCTGGGCAGATCCTAGAAAACACGACGTGAGACCATGAGGACAGACCCTGCTGTGTGACCAAGGGACGGTCCTGGCCGCGACCCTGGGCTGGTCCCCTGGGCTGGTCCCCAGGGCCGTCCCCATGTCCTGGAGGAGGGCCTCGGGGGCCACCTGGCCCCACATCCCTGCGCTCTCCAAGGTGTCAGGAGAGGGTGACTGGGGGGGGACTGGGAGGAGGACGAGGGTCGTGAGCACCTTTAATCTGCAAAGCCATGGCCAGGTGTCCTGTGGGGTGTCCCCAGAGTCCCCGTGGGAGGCGATGCAGGAAGGTCCAGAGGAGGATTGAGGGGTGTGAGGCCTGAACCCCGGCAGGGAATGCCTCCCTGGGGGTCACCTGGTGGCACCTGGAGGCAGGTGGGGTGTGGAGGAGGAGGTGGCCCTGGGGCCGTGGCTTGGGGTCTCTCTTTGTCCCTGGAGAGTGGAGTCCCTGCTCCCTGGTCCCCATGGGAGCTGCTCCCTCCCCACACTCTTCCTCCCTGATGTCCTGCCTCCCCTCGGCCAGGAGTGGGGCCGCTGTCTGTGGACTGGGACCTGGGACACCCTGGGCCCCACGTCCACTGTCCCCCTCTGCAGTGGTGCTGCAGGGTCCCTGAGTCACTGTGGCAAGATGGCTGACCACAACAGGGGTGGACATTGACTCTGGTGACAGGTGACCTCGGGGGAGACAGACAAGGTGACGCTGGGGTTCTCAGCAGGCCGTCCCCGTGGAGAAGGGACGAGGTGGTGGGGTGCAGGGCCAGTGTCCCTCACAGCCTCGGGGACCCCCGACAGGCGCAGGGGGACTTCCGGCCTCCAGAACCGTGGGAACCCGTCTGTGGTCTGAAGCTGGGGCCTGGCCATCTGCGTCGTGACCCTCCTAGGAAATGACCGACTGTGGGTGCAGGGGACTGAAGCCAGAGAAGGCCTGGGGTCCCCCATGGTCCTGGGCAGGGTCTCAGGCCTGGGGCAGCTGCGAGCCTGGGGGTGGCCTGGCCCTTCCCAGGCTCCAGGGTGAGGCCCACTTTAGAGGCCCGGGTCCAGGGACTCCTGACCCCTCACCCTGCCCGTCCTCGCCTGGCAGGGCTGGTGGCCAGCACCTGTGAGCAAGAGGCCATCGCAGGCCACGGCCCTCTCCCCGGGCCCGGGGACGTCCCTGTCAGATTTCCCTAATCGACTCGGACACTTCTGACCGCGTGAACTCCCGTGGGGGCGGGGCGCGGCCAGTCCAAATAAACAGTGGCCTTCTCCCCCGGCCACAGGCCCCCGCTGCCCCCGTCCATCCCAGCTGGGGCTCATTACAGGAGCCAGAAGTGGGGGAGCAGGCGAGCGAGGCAGGGAGGGCGCCCCGCAACCCAGGGAGGCCGCCAGCCTCTGCCCGGCCTCCTGGTCTCCCAGCCTCTACCCGGGGAAGACATGGGCTGGCGATGCTCCTTGCTGTGGTGTGGCTCTGGGGGTGGTGACATCAGAAAGTGTCCAAAGCACTGAGCAAAAGTGCAGCAAGTCACCAAATGTCCGAGCCCAGGCTGACCGGGGGTGTGTGCACCTAGGGCTGGCTGTCCCTGTCCCCTCATGCGGGCAGGGTGCTGGGTAAAGTGGCTTCCAGAGCCCAGAGGGCCTCCAGCCTGCTTCTAGGACAAGGGTCCTGGCGCTGGGCCCTGAGGGTGACAGGGACACTACAGAGGTGCCCTGCAGCTGAGGGCCTGGGGCCTGGGGGCCTTGGCAGGTCTCCCAGGGCAGGTGGGGGTCCTGGGCTGTGTGGCCTGGCACCAGGTCTGCAGTCCGTGCAGTGGCCCTGCTGGCTCAGAAACCAGGGGTCCCCTGGGGTGTCCTGAGCCCCGCAGCCTCCCCCTGACTCACTCTGGCCTATGGCCCTGCCCTGGCCTCCAGTTGTCCCCTGTCCCTCCTGCCTCGGACCCCAGGTCCACCCCCTGATGCTTGCCCCATGTGGAATTGATCCCACAAGCAGCCTCTGCTCTTGGGTCTGGGGGTAATGGGGTCTGACCCGTCGCTCTTTAACTCTCAGGTGTTGGGCGGAAGGTGGGCCTGGAACAACTAGTGCTTACTGAACAGTCTTGGTCCCGATGGAATATTACTCAGCCACGAAAAAGAATGGCTTGATGATGTTTGCAGGTAAATGGGTGGAGCTGAAGACGATCGTGCTGAGTGAAATCCGCCAGTCCCCAAATTCCAAAGGCTGAATGTCCTCTCTGACATGCAGATAGTGACCCACAACAAGAGGGGGAGAGCAGAAGTTCACTGGATGAGACGCAGGGAAGGGAGGGGAGGGACTGGGAGAGGCAGGGGAATGGATGGACGTCCCTTTCCCATGTTCACAGAGGAACCCACGACCAGGGACACCCCACAACAGGTCCAGCCACAGGAGAGGGACGTCACGCCCCGTGTAGGTGGGACATGGCAGGATGCTTGCTGCTGTCAGAGGGCTAAAAAGAACAAATAAAAAATTAAACAAAACTCTCCGTCCCTCAGCAGTCCCCAAGTCGCAGTCAGCTGAAGCCAGGGAGTTAATTTTCCTAACAGTCGGGTCACCTGGGCTCCCGATAAGCAGAGTCTTTTCCTCAGACAGTTTGGGGGCAGCCTGGGGCTCTGATGTCTGACTTGCTGTGCAGCCTTGGTGACTTGACCTTTCTGAGCTCCCAAGTCTTCAGAATGAGGAAACACTAGTACATGTCCGCTCTGCGGGTTTTTGGGGGTAAAAGGAGGTGACGGCTTCACGTGTCGCATCCAGCTGGCTCAGTCAGCAGTCACCCCAGAGCTCCTGCCATGTGCAGGCCTGGCCAGGCCACAGGGGACAGGGCAGGTGAGGCGGGTCCCCATGGGTCCTTGCTGAACGGATCTTTAGCACCAGGGCTGTTTCTGTGGTGAGGGACGGAGAGCCAGAGGGTCTCTGAAGGTCTGGAGCGCTTCCTGGGGAGACTGTGTGACAAAGGGACCTGGCCACTCGGACATCCAGGGGAGGAGCCTGGGGCGAGCTGGGCTGAGGAGAAGAGAGGGTGGGGAGCAGGTGGGGACCCAGGCCAGGGCCAGGGCAGCAGCCAGGGTGGGGGGCACGGGAGTGCTCCAAGAGGCATCCAGGAAGTACCCAGGAAATCCACAGCAAGTTCTAGAAAGTTCCAGAATGTCGGCCAGCTCCAGGAAGTATCCAGGAGGAATCCAGGAAGTCCTTAACAAGTTCTAGAAAGTTCTAGACAGTTCCAGAACGTTGGCTCGCTCCAGGAAGTATCCAGGAAATCCTCAGAAAGTTCTAGAAAGTTCCAGAACGTTGGCTCCACTGTCCCTGCCCTTCCCCACTTGACCCCCGCAGCCCTCTGGCCTGGCCCCTCCTGCCGTGGCTGCAGTTGGGACCTCTGCTGTGACCTTGCTTTTTCTCCTTCAAGGAAAGCCGGGTGTCCCCTGGGTGTGCATGAAGCCCAGGAGCCACTGAAGCAGAATATTTCTGATTCCTTCTTTTAAGAAACAAAGCAGCAATAAAAACCCCATGAACACTGCCCTCATGGCTCCCAGGCCGTGACCTGTCATGGGGCGGGAGGGGCTGCTGCTGCTCTTGTGTGAAGTCGCCCTAAAATGCTGCCTTAGAACTTGTTCTTGTTGAAAAACAAACTCCTGCCACTCAGGTTCTCAGATGTTTTTTTCTTTTCCAAAGTATTTAAATGAGCTGATTCTGGGCCAGGGCTGGACAGGCCTGAGCCAGCTTTTGTGGGTCCCTGGGCTGCTGCTAAGGACATCACTGCAGTCCCCCGCCCCCAGGCAATCAGCCACCTCCCTGGCTGGCTGTGGGGGACACTGTCATCAGACGTGGGGGCAGGAAGACTGGTCTGAGCAGAGGGCAGGGGACCTGACCTAGGCCACCATCGGAGCAGGCTCGCCCAGTCTGTGGGAGGAGGGAGTGTGGGTCAGAGGACATTCCAGCTGGGTGTGGAGGCACACGTCTGTCATCCAGCAGGTCG